GGATGTGGCTCAGTGATCAAGTGCTCCTGAGTTCAATCTCTGGTACCAAAATAATTATAATAAAAACAAAAAAAATATTCAAACATCTTCATCATTACTATCTTCATATGGTTATGGTCAATGCTATGTGGTTACTCTGATGATGTTAGACCTGAGCTCTGACTGAAAGGTTTCCCATACTCATTACATTCATAAACTTTCTCTTAAGTATGACTTTTCTGATGTCTGGGCTCCATCTGAAGGCTGGATCTTCAAAAAATGATAGCTATTTTTATAAGTGTTTCCCCACTCATTACATTCACAGGGCTTTTCATTGCATTCATAAAATTTCTTCCCACTGTGAATTCTTTGATGCTGAATAAGTTGGGAGCTCCCCGTAAAGGCTTTCCCACATCCACTACATTTACAAGGCCTCTTGCCCCTGGGGTTTTCTGGTGTTCTAATTAGAATTTAGCTTCATCTATAGATTTTCCTAGAGAGACTATTTTGACAGCTCATTTAATTTGTAACCCCCTTGTCAGTTTTTTCACCTTTTACATAATTTTTGTTGTTGTTTTGTTTTGGTGGTACTCGTGGAGTTTGAATGCAGGGTCTTGTGCATGCTAGGCAAGGGCTCTACCACTAAGCTAGATCCTTTCCTGCCAACTCCTTTTTTTGAGAGCCTATGTTGCTCAGACTGGCCTTGAACTCCTGAGCTCAAACCTTCCTGCTGCCTCAGCCTCCTAACTAGTACTATGGCGCATGTGTACCCAGCTTTCTGTTATGATCTTGATGAAGTATGAAGGCTATTTTTGTGGCCTGAACAATTTTGGATAGGTACACTCATAATAACATTTCTGGACATGGAAAGTAGAGACCCTATTCCTGAAACCAGGTAATTGGAGCATAAGGTCCAGTTAGTGAATCAGATAACAAAATTAACATTTCATCACTAAGTGAAATTGTGAATGTTTTCTCTTGGAAGCAGAATATTTCTAAATGAACAATTTCAAAACTGTCACATTTTTCTAATATCCTTTTTTAAAAAATTTTTTATTTGTTGATAGAACTTAGATTCATTTATTTATTTATTTGTGGTGCTGAGAATTGAACCCAGTGCCTCACACATGCTAGGCCAGCACTACCACTGAGCTACACCCCCAGCCCACTTTTCTAATATTCTTATCTCTGCCAATGCCCTGCCTCAAGCTTCTAACCTTAAATTATTCTTAAATAATTTCCCTACTGCACTGAATAGTGTCCCACCAAATTCATGCTGCGTGACTTTGTTACCTGGTCTTATTTTGCCTCAGTTTCCTTATCAGTAAAAAGCACTGAAGAGATTTTGTGAGGATAAGTTAATATGTATAAAGTTCTTACGATAACATCTGGCTCACAGAACTCAATGAATAATACTTGAAATCTTGTTACTTGATTAATAATCTTGAAGATTATCAAGATAATCCTGCTCTTATTTAAACTGGAATTAGTTGTACATCACTTTCATCATATTAGTTACTGTTCAAATATCTTTAATTTGCCAGGGGCAGTGACACATGCCTGTAATTCTAGGAACTGGAGAGGCTGAAGCAGGAGGATCACAAGTTCAATACTAACTTAGCAATTTAGCAAGACTGTCTCAAAATTTAAAAAATAAATAAATGAAACAAAAAAGGATTGGGGATAGAGCTAAGTGATAAAATGCCTCTGGGTTCAATCCCCAGAACCCCAAAACCCCAAAACCAAAAACATTTAATTATCCCTAGTTATTACTGTATTATATCTTTAGCTAGGTATGGTGGCACATGCTCAGGAGGCTGAGGCAGAAGAATCACAAGTTGGAGGCCAGCCTGGACAACTTAGAGATCCTGTCTCAAAAAGGGCTGGGAATATATCTCAGAGATAATGTGCCATGGGTTCAATCCCCAGTAGCCCAAGGGAAAAAAAGGTGCAGAACCAGATTTTGGAGGTGGGGGGGTACTGGGGATCGAACTCAGGGGCACTCAACCACTGAATCACATCCCCTGCCCTATTTTGTATTTTATTTAGAGACAGTGTCTTACCGAGTTGCTTAGTGCCTGGATTTTGCTGAGGCTGGCTTTGAACTCAAGATCCTCTTGCCTCAGCCTCCTGAGCTGCTGGGATTAAGTCACTGCACCTGGCTGGAGACAGGATTTTGGGGGAAGTGAAAATACTATATTGATGCTATAATGGTGGATATGTACCATTATACATTTGTTCAAAGCCAGAGAATGTTCAATACCAAGAATCTAACCCAAAGCAAACCATGGACTTTGGGGGATTGTGATGTACCCTTGTAAATTCATCACTTGCAACAAGTACACCACTTAGGTGGGGGATATTATGTTGGGTGAGGCTATGCATGTGTAGGACCAGGGTTATAAAAAAAATTTCTAACTTCCTCTCAGTTTTGCTGTGAACCTAAAATTAATTCAAAAGCCCAAAGTCTTTTAAAATAGAAATGAAACAATATGGGGGAATGCTATGGTTTGGACTCTGTCCCTTCCACATTAATAATCTTGAAGCTCCAACCCAAAATGTGATAGTATTTGATCATTTGACTCTGTCTTTGGAAAATAATTAGTTTAGATGAATCACAAGGACGCAGCTGTTACATGAGGGCATGGCCATGATGGGATTAGTGCCTTATAAGGAGAGGCACCAAAGAGCTTTGGGTCTTTCTGCTACGTCTGCGCAGGGAAAGCTGACAGAAGAGCTCTCATATCTCATCAGAACCTAACCATGCTGGCAGCCTGATCATGGACTTTCAGCCTGTAAGAGGGGAGAACTTTGATGGGGATGAGAGAGTAGAAGAATCCCATGTCCAAAAGGTAATGCTAAAAAGGCTGGAAGGAGCCAGCAAGATATCAATCTGTCTCATTTTATTTCCTAGAGGTATCTCTAGTAAATGGGTGGTGAGGGGGATATTTTTTGAATGCTAGGCCAGGGTCTACCACTGAGCAACACCCCTAGCCCAAACCTCTTTATTGACAAGTTATTTCAAAACAGAACAGAGACAGTTGTGTATCCCAGAGAGAATTATTTGTAATGTCTGCTTAAAAAAAAAAAGAAAGAAAGAAAGAAAAAGAAAAAAAAAAACCCACACCATAATATTCTTCCAACTCTGAGGAAGTTCATTTTGTGAAGGTCAAATAGTCCCCATGGAAAACTTCCGAGTCTCTGAAGAAGATCCTTACCCAGAAAGCCCTGACCTCCTTCCCTCTCCTGCACTCGGTTTTCATGAAGATCCCCTTTTGCATTGACTATTAGTCCAGCTCCCTGGGGACAGTCCCCGACCCGAGTGTATCCCACGCAGTCACCCGGTGCAGAAATACCAGTTGTCTGGGAGCCAGGCTAGGCAGAGCTATTGGCTGCAGTGCCGGGAGAGGGGAGCACGCTGAGAGGATGCAGGGCAGGGCAGCGCGAGTTGGGGAAAGAGGGGTTCCAGGGACCAGACCAGACCGGGCAGGGTAAATAGCTACCTCAGCGATCATGGCCATTGTTTCCGGGGGATTCCCCTGGACTAACACTGAGTACTCCTCTATTCCTAGACAAACCGGGGGGAAGGGAGACACACTTCTGGACGATGTGAGCAACGTCTGTCCAACTGAGGGTTTGGATCCCACCTGGAGGCATGACCTTATGTGGGAAATGCCACGTCCGAGTCCAGGAAGGGCCTGGTCTAGTGGCGACAGGTAGATTATAGTTGATGTGCTAAGTTGGCTGTGGCCTGTAGAAGCACAGTGGAAACACTTAACACCACCTGGCAGTTTATCAGGGAAGGTGACCAGAGTCTGTGAGTCCTGTACATGAGGAAATCTGAATTCCTTTCTTCCCTCCTAGTTGTGGGTCTTGGGGTTAATTTGCTTTCTTGGGATCTTAGATTCCTATTTATAAAGCAGGGACAACACTAGTACCCACCAAATAAGACTGAAATACAAGATAAAGTTGGTGTTAAGTGCTTATCACTGTAACTGACACATGGGAGGTTCTAAAAAATAACAGAGCTAGGAAGCCAGTAGCCATCCTGATGGGGATGTTTGTAGAAAGGCCACAAGACTAGAAGGCAGTGCCTAGGCCTGCAGAAGATTGAGGAGTAAATGTTTGGTTTATAAAGGAAAGGTAAGCACTTTGCAGAAAGGCCTTCCCAACTATGTCAAACTTCGCATTCTGGTATCATATGCCCCTCCTTTCTGGCAATTATCACAGTTGTAATTTTATTTATTATTCTCATTAATCTCCCCTCCATTCTTTTTTAAAAAAATATTTTTAGTGTAGATGGACACAATACCTTTATTTTATTTATTTAAATGTGGTGCTGAGGATCAAACCCAGTGCCTCACACGTGCTAGGCAAACACTCTACCACTGAGCCCCAGCCCCAGCCTTCCCCTTGATTCTTAAAACCTCCATCAGGACAAGAAACTGTTGTATATTTCTGTTCACTCTTTGTAGCCCTCAGTAGACACCTAGTAGAAGCTTAATATGTCTAGAATAGGTGGATGAATGGGGCCAGATCAGAATACATGTGTCAATTTAAGAACTTTTGACTTCAGGGCTGAAATTAGTGGGAAACCAATGAAGAAGCTTAGAAAGAGGGTGTCACTGTCAGATTTGTCTTAAAAGAAGATAGTTTAGGCTGCCCTGAGAGAGGGGTTGGAAGCAGGAAGACATGTTAGGAAGTATGATATAGAGGTCTAGCCAGTAGTCTGTCCTCCCAGTTGTGAATACTAAATTGTCCCCAGACAAACCAAAGGTCAAAAAAGGCTAGGTATGGTGACTCATGCTTATAATCCCAGCAACTCAGAAGATTGAGGAAGATGGATCACAATTTTGAGGCCAGCATCAGCAATTAACAAGACCCTGGATAAAAAGGGGTGGGGATGTGTCTCAGCGGTAAAGCACCCCTGGGTTCAATCCTCAATACTCCCTCACAAAGATGAGAAATGTGGACTGGCGATTATTGGACATTCATTTCCTTTAATGAACACACACACATTCTTCCCTAAAACTGATAATTTTATTTCCTATGAAATATTTATTTTACATGAGATCCCACATTTCAATTGTACCCATTCCTCAGATTATTAGACTAATTTTCTCTCAGTTTTGGTCCTCCTGGAGTTTAGTCTGTTCCCTTCACTACACCAGATTGACCCTCTTGAAGATTCATCATTCTACAGGCTTCTAGCAGACTCTGGATACCCCTTGAGATGATACATGGCTATGCCCACTTCACACTGCAATACTTGTTTAAATGGCTCCAGGAGCTGGCATCCTAAATATTCTTGGATTTCTCAACTATGCCACTGTGGACACTTGGGGCCAGATAATTCTTTGTGTGTGGGGGCTGTGTGCTAAGATATTAGCAAACCTGCCCCTAGTCACTAGAGGCCAGTAGTTTGTCCTCCCAGTTGTGAAAACCAAAGTGTCCCCATGCATTACTAAACTGTCCCCTAGGAAGAGGGCAGAATAATCCCAACTGAGAACCACAGACTCCCTCCTTGCATCTCATAAATACCTCTATTATGGAAAGGTATGAGGTTTTGTTGCTCCTTGTCTTCATTGTCCCACTTGGCAGTTTTCTTATCTGATGACTTATGTAAACTAATATACACTTTACCAGCAGGTCAGAGTATAAGAAATATTTGATGATTGAGTCTGATTGCACAGTCAGGGCCTATACAATTAAGCACGATATAATTGCCAATTTCAATTGCCTAATTTGACTGGCTTTTTTCTAGAGTTCTATTTAGACTCTCCAAATCTCAAATAAACTGTTCTGGCTAAAGAAAAAACTTTTCTCTTTATCATCTGATCTTTCAAAAAGTCATCTAAATCTTCTGACCCTGTCTGGTTCTATTCTCAGTACATGCTCTTCTCCTGACTCTTTGCTCTTTTTGATTTTCTGACACTACTCATAAGTCTACAGTCTTTTTCTTGGGAACATGGGCTTAGCTCTGGTGTCCTACCTTCAGCTATTGTGTGTGTATGTGTTTTGGATGGGGGAGAGTGCTGGGGATTGGACCCAGGACCTGAGCTCTGATTGAAAGTTTTCCCACATTCTCTACATTCATATGGTTTCTCTCCTATATGAGTTTCCTGATATGACAAAATTGGAGGCAAGTAGGCAAGAGCTCTACTACTGAGCTATACCTTCAGCTTTCCAGTCATTTCTATTATCTTTTTGTTTCATATAAATCAGTGGATTACCCTAATTAGCATTATGACATATGCATGAGCATATTTTTGTAAGAAAGAAGGGGGATACATATAAAATACATACATAAAGATCCCAAAGAAAGATTTAATTACTCTATAAAGTACTTAAAACAGATTTATATCATCTCTGAACTAGGTTAGATTGAAACAACTCTTTCCACAAAGAATTTAGTTTTGGGGTTGCTGCCACAGTAATTTCTAATGATTTTAATGTTAGGAAATCCCCTAACACATTCTTGGATAGTTATACCCTTAGGACCATACTCCAGTGTCATCATGGAGGCAGAAAAAGGCTATTTAAAAAATTATTTTTTAGTTGTAGTTGGACACAACACCTTTATTTCACTTGCTGTTTTTATGTGGTGCTGAAGATCGAACCCAGGGTCTCACACCTGTGAGGTGAGTACTCTACTGCTGAGCCACAACCCCAGCCCAGAAAAAGGCTATTATGCTCAAGAACTTTTAGCTTTTCCACTTGATTACACTTGTATGTTTTTTACTCAATAGGATTTTTAATTGTTTTCTGCTTTCAGAATTTTTTCCCAATAATTAAAAAAAATTCTCTATAATTTTCCCACATTCAGTACATTCATAAGGTTTTTCTTCCTTATGTTTGCTAAGATGTAGTCCCCAACTAAACTTTGTCTACATTCATTAGGTTTCTCCTACCTGTTAGAATAAGTCCTATTTGAAGACTCTCATAGTCCCCAAATTTCTTTCCAGTATGAAGTTTCTGATGTTTCAGAAAAGCTGCACGTCCACTGAAGGCCTTCCCACAGTGGCTACATTTAAAAGGTTTCTCCCCAGTGTGAATTCTCTGATGACTAATAAGGTGTGAATTCTGACTGAAGGCTTTCCCACATTCAGGGCACTTGTAGGGCTTCTCTCCAGTGTGAATACAATGGTGTTTAATAAGATCTGAGCTGCCCCTAAAGGATTTTCCACATTTATTGCATACATAAAGTTTTTCTCCACTATGAACTCTATGATGTCTCATCAGATCTGAGCTCTGATTGAAAGTTTTCCCACATTCTCTACATTCATATGGTTTCTCTCCTATATATATGAGTTTCCTGATATCTGACAAGGTTGGAGCTACCTTTGTAAGTTCTACTACCCTGATTACACTGTGAAGTGTTTTCCTCTTGGTGAATTCTCTGCACTTCCCTAAGTTCCTCATCCTTGCTGAAGACTTTTTCACATTCTTCAAGTTTGTTTCCAGTATGAAGTCTTTATGTTTTAGAAAGGCTGTGCGCCAAATGAAGGCTTTTCCACATTCTTTACATTCATAGGGCTTCTCACCATTCTGGACTCTCTGATGTTGAGTAAGGAGGGATCGCTATCTGAAGGCTTTCCCACATTCACAGCATTCATAGGGTTTCTCTCCTGTATGAATTTTTTGGTGTGTAACCAGGTGTAACCTCTGGCTAAAGCCTTTCCCACATTCACTGCATTCATAGGGCTTCTCTCCTGTATGAATTATCCAATGCCGAATTAGATCTGAACTTGCCCGGAAAGTTTTTCCACATTCAGTATATTCATAAGGTTTTTCTTCCTTATGTTTGCTAAGGTCCAAGTCAGAAGTGGAAGCTTTTTCACATTCAAGTTTCTTTCCAGTATGTAGTCTCTGATGTTTAAGAAAAGCTCTGCATCCAGTGAAAGATTTCCCACATTCTTGACATGCATAGGGTTTTTCTCCACTGTGGAGTCTCTGGTGTTCAGTAAGGCGAGAACGCTGCCTGAAGGCTTTTTCACATTCATTACACTTGAAGGGTTTCTCTCCAGTATGAATTCTCTGATGTGTAACTAGGTGTGAACTCTGACTGAATGTTTGTCCACAGTGGTAACACTCATAGGGTTTCTCACCAGTGTGAATTCTGTGATGTATAATAAGATCTGAGCTTTGATTGAAGGTTTTCCCACATTCACTGCACATATAGGGTTTCCCTCCATTATGGATTCTCAGGTGTAGGAGAAGGTTTGAATTTCCCTTAAAGGCCTCTCCACACTCTTTACATTCATAGCTATTTTTGCCACTGTGAATTCTATTATGTCTAACCAGATTAGAGCTCTGGTTGAAGTCTTTTCCACATTCATGACATATGTATGGTTTCTTTCTGGTATGGATTCTCTGATGTATGGTAAGATTTGAACTCTGATTAAAGTCTTTTCCACATTCATTACATACATATGGTTTCTTCCCCATGTGAATTCTCTGATGTATGATCATGTTTGAGCCCTGGTTAAAGATTTTTCCACATTCCTTACATTCATAGGTCTTGTTTATGTTATGAACTTCCTGATGTTCAGTCAGTCTTGACTTCTGTTTGAAGGTTTGGACACAGACCTCATATCTATGGGATCTTTCTCCTGCAGAAAGTATTTTTTCTCCATGACATCCATGGCCTTGGTCTCCTGCCTTGTATTTTTTTGGGATGAGATTCACTTCCTTGATAACTCTCTCTTGGGATGGGAGATGTCTCACTGCATCTTCCAAGGGGTTTATCCAGTGCCTCAATATCTAGTCTTCAGGATCACGGGTATTGACTAACTCACATTCCTGGGAGATGAGCCTTTGAAGTCTTTCTGGTGAAGCTCTTACTGAATCTTTTTCTTCCAATATTTCCATCTTTGATTTCCTCTGTTTCACCTTATTTCTGGTCTCAGAATCTGAAATGATAAGCATATCATTCTATATTCTTATAAAAAAAATCACCCTTATCTGTCGTGGAAAGTGTAAGTGACAGAAATAAAAGAATTTAAAAGACAATGCTTTCTCCCACCAGAGCTGAGTCATACCTTATTTGAAAGACTCTGTCACAGAAACACAAACCCTGTTGGTGGAGATTTGCCAGGGTATATTGGGAGCTGGTCTTAGGGGGTGGCCTGAAGGGTGGTAGAAAAAATACATGGCAGGAGGCTGGCAGTCTAGAACTGGTCCACAGGAAGTGGTCTGTAGAATGAGGAGGAACTCACTGGATGGTATAGCTAGACCACAACTGGTTTACAGCAGCCCATTAGAGTAATTGCCAGCAGGAGTCTTAAAAGTTAATCTGTTGGCAGCATACCAATATATATATATATATTATTTATTTATAAAATATATTTAAAAAATATATATATATTTTAAAGCACACTGGTACCAGGGAGAGGTTCTTTTCTCTTCCTGTAGGTATTGACTGCCCCTTCAGTATTCTCTATTGACTATATCTTGGGTCATCTGGCAAAGGAGAAAAGTTTATAAGGTTCATACCAAGTAACACAAGCAAAGCAAAGACAGGTGGATTTGAAGTTGAGAGGCAATACATTAATAAATGGAATACTACCCATTCATCCCACTATATCATGACAATATGAAACAATGCCTCAAAATGAAAACATATGGTTATCATTTCAATAGAAATTGAGTCTCCTTTTCTTAGACCTGGCATTTTTCTTTCTGGCATTGTGATAGAATTGCTTCCTTTTGGATGACAATTTTATATCCTCCTGCAATTTGGTGACCGATTAACTTATTGCTTTTGAGTGTCTATATTATCAAATCCTGATCTCACCCAGTCACAAAATATAGTTCTAAGCTTCTTGGAGAGTCACTTTAGTTTGATCCTGCTGATTTGAACTCTCTAATCCTTAATCTTAAAATGAATTAGAAGCAACATGGCAGTGATTAAGAGTATGGACTGTAGGGCAAGTTGCTTTGGTTAGACTGCTGGATCCACCACTGGCTGACTGTGACCCCAGGAAATTCACTGGACCTCTCAGTGTCTCAATTTCTTTATCCATAAAATAGAATACTTGTACTTACCTCACAGAGTTGTTAAGAGAACTAAGTGTATGTAATAACTGGTTAAGTATCCCTAATCTGAAAATACAGAATCTGAAGTGCTATAAAATCCAAAACTTTTTGAAGCCTGACAGGATACTACAAGTGGAAAATACCACACCTGACCTCATACAATAGGCTGAAATCAAAACATAGGTACACAGGAAATACTGCATAAAATTATCTTATACTTTTGTAAAACTGTATATGAAATATAAGTGAATTTGGTGTTTAGACTTGGTCCCCATCCCCAACCTATCTCATTGTGTACATGCAGATATTCCAAATCTAAAAAATCCCCAAGTCATAAACACAGAAGTGTCCTAAGCATTTTGCATAGGGATACTTAACCTGTACATATAAAACATTTAGAATAATACTTGACATATAGAAAACTATATAAGTGCCAGCTGTTTTTATTGCTGCTACAATTACTATCATTATTATTTGCAGTACATTGAACACAGGGCTTTTTTTTGGGGGATGGTACTGGGGAAACCAAGGGCATTATGCACCCAAGACAAATGCACTACCACTGAACTACATTCCCAGCCCCAAACCTAGGGCTTTGCATATTCTGGGCAAGTTTTCCACCACTAAGCTTCAACCCTAGCCCACTACTATTACTATTAATCTTTACCCTTTAAGCCCAAGAATTATCATTAAGCAATGTGCCCCTATCACAAATCTCCATATTCAGCCTGGATTTCCTTAAAAGGACAATAAAATCAATAACTGCAAAGAATTGGTTTTGTCATAATTTTCTCATAACTTATAGTACCTTTTTTGATATATACTGTGTGGAATTCAGTATATATCAGAAACAGATGATTATTTAAAAGATGGTAAAGGCCTTTCTCAAAACCCACTGAAAATAATTAAAACAACAACTGAGATAAATTCTGCCTTCAATAAAAGGGCTGTACACAAGTGTTTCCCAAAGTACCATATCCCAAAGGCACACTGAGTGAGCTATAAATGGAGATCTATAGATACTGGGTGAGGGGAAGATCACAGAGAATATAGGGATTGTCTCCATGGAGATCTACTTTGCCCTATCAGAGCGTCATGGGTCAGAATGCTCAAGAAGATACCATTTCTGGCAGTAACTTTAATCATGTTCTATAGCTAAGGAACACTGTCAGAGGTAAAGAAGCAGATAGAGTGGCTGTCAAGTTTTATTACAAAAATGTGATCTAGAGGGCTTCTTATTATGTCATATTGATTTCTTGGAAACTAAAATCTGGAGGGAGACATACCTCTAGATTAGATGAGAGAGTCTTGTGGCAGCAAATCCACATGTAGGCTTTGACATGCCCTAGCTCAATTTCCTCTGCCTCTTCTCACAGTAGTTTTTTTAAAAATATTTTTTAGTTGTAGACAGACATGATAACTTTATTTTGTTTATTTTCTTATGTGGTGCTGAGGACCGAACCCAGTGCCTCACATATGCTGGGCAAGAGGTCTACCTCTGAGCCACAACCCCAGCCCTCATATTATTTTTTTAATAGAGAGCCTCTCATTCATAGTTGAATAATAGTAAGATAAACCTGTGGGATAAATATTTAAAAACAGTTCTTTGTTTTATTTTTCATTTTAAGAAAGGAATATGTGGGCTGGGGATGTGGCTCAAGTGGTAGCGCGCTCAAGGCACTGGGTTCAATCCTCAGCACCACATAAAAATAAAGATATTGTGTCCACCTAAAGCTAAAAAATAAATATTTTTTTAAAAAGAAAGGAATGTGAGTAACCAGCAGATCAGAAGCATACATCTATGAGGAATACCAAAGGAATTAATAGGAAGTATTCAGCAGAGAATTCTCCATTATCTTAAAGAAATTATAGACATAGATCATTATTTAAATACAAGCCTGATGTGCACACACATAATCCCAGCTACTCAGGAGATTGAGGGAGAAGAACTCAAGTTCAGGGCCAGCCCAGGCCACTTTGCAAGACCTTCTTTCAAATAAAAATATAAAGGGCTAGGAATGTAGCTCAGTGATAGAGGGTCCTTGGGTTCAATTCCCAGTCTATCTTTCATAATGGAATCAATAGATACAGTCTAAAGTAGAAATGACTCCAAAATCTTAATGTTTTTCCATAACTGTGTGTGTGTGTGTTTTATTGGGGACTGAACCCAGGGCTTTGTGCACACTAGGCAAGCACTCTACCTCTAAGTCAATACCCAGCACGTTTTATGTTTTTTTTTTTTTTTTAATTTTCAGACAGAATCTTTCTAAATTTCTCAGTCTGGACTTGAACTCCATATCCTCCTACTTCAGCCTCCTGAATGGCTGAGATTACAGGTTTGAGCCACTGCCCAACCCAGTGTTTTTGTTGATCATAAAAATTTTACAATTATAAGAAAAAATAACAAAGTAAAGGAGAATACTCCCCATAATCCCATTATCCTCCACCCAAAGAGAAATACCACTAATGTTTTGTCATATTGGTATTTATTCTTCTAAACTTATTTCTGGGCGTATTTTTTACTAATATAAAAATAGGACCATATTATAAGTGTTCTTTTTGTTTTCATTGCCTTACTTGTGATATTTGAGGCAGACCTTGTAAACATTTCTCTTTTGCCATTTGGTTTTATTATAGAGGGCACTGGGGGAGTACTGTAAGGCCATATAAAGATAAAGGATTTACTTTTCCTGGTACCAGTAAGCTGTTTTGGTTTTGGTGAAGCCACCAAATCAATATATGGGAGGTTTGATGCCTTCCTGTGTGCCAGCTTTGTATTGCCTATGCCCTCCAGTGAGTTTTTCTACCATCCAACAGAACTTACCTATGGACTACTGTGGCCTACCTAACTTTTTCAGTGAATTTCTCCCCCATTTGTTAGGCCATGCCCATAGACATCTCCTCCAAGTTTCTTCATCAGCAAGCTACATGTTCTACTGATTGGTGCCCACATCCTCCAAATAAAAGTCTGAATCTCAACTTTAGGGTGGGGGAGTCCTCTTCTAAGCTCTTGGTTCTTTTTATTCTCCTTTGGTCCTAGAGATAAGGCTGCTTTCTGCACTCTTTATTTTCTTAGACTCCTCTTTTAGTAGTTAACTGTCTTTTAAATTAATTAACTAATTAATTTTTGGTACTGGGGACTGAACCCAAGGGCACTCTATCACTGAGTTACACCCCCAGCCCTTTTTATTTTTCAAGTTGCTCATGAACTCACTAAATTGCCAAGACTGGCCTTGCACTTTTGATCCTCCCGCCTCATCCTCCTAAATTGCTGGGATTACAGGCATGCATCACTACACCTGGTGTTAACTTTACTAGTTAAAAAATTCTTTTTTGTTTTTTTAGTTGTAGATGGACACAATATCTTTATTTTTTTTAATGTGGTACTGAGGATCAAACCCAGTACTTCACGCATGTGAGGCAGGCATTCTACCACTGAGCTATAACCCCAGCCCTAAAAATTATTTATATTAAACATTTCTTGTTTAAGTTACTTGCATAGTTTTTGTCTCTTCACTGAATCCTGATTGATAACAGACCTATGGTTTTATTTCATTTGAGAGTTAGAACAAGGAGAAGATGATATAAGAAAAGTTATAAGAGTACTACAAAAGGGAGAAAAATTATTTGGGAATAGTCCAAAAAGGACTTCTTTATTCGACTCATTACAATCAACTTTTGCCCTGGGCAGTTTTGACAAACTACCTACTCCATGTTCCACATGGCTCTGCAGAGACGAATGGCCACACACTCAAATTTTTCTCTAATTCTACAGATGAAAGGAATCAGAAGTAATTTAAGAAATCTTCCCCTCGGAGGATGTCCACAGTAGAAGGCAATCACATCTGAAACACGCCTGATCAGAGGCGAGTCC